TACACACACCACCCACCCCACCCCACCCCCACCCCCCCCCCCCCCACCTACTCAGAAGAAGAAGAAGAAGAAGAAGAAGAAGAAGAGTGAATAATCTGCCATAATAGAAGGGAGAACAACACACGAAAATGGTAGCCGAGGAAACCCCAGTCGCGCTCCCCTCCGCACTCCTGCGGACCGTCGCCCCCAACATCCTGCTGCAGCCGCCCCTGTCGCGCCGCGGCACGGGGCCCGGGCTTGTGCTCGTCGTCGACGCCGGCCTGCCGCTGGGCCGCAGCGACAAGACCCTCGACCCGCCGCCCCTGCTGAAGTGGGCCGAGGAAGGGTACGCCGTGGCGCAGGTCACGCTGCGTGAAGGCGGCGGCGGCGCGGACGGGTTCCACGCCGACCTGCGCGCGGCGTTTGGCGCGCTGGCGGCGCTGGACGAGTGCGAGAAGGGCGAGGATGGGCGGGCCCGCTGCGGCGTCGTCGCGTACGTGCCGCTGCCGGCGCCGCCCCCCGTGACGGAGGCGGCGGCGGCTGTCGTCGTCGTCGCCGTCGTCAACTACTCGGCGGCCCCCATCGACGCGGGACCGTCGACGCCCGTCCTCTGGCACGCCGCTGGGGCTGTGGCCAAGCCGGACGCCGCCGCTGGGGACCGCCCCACGACCTTGCACGCCTACCGCGAGGCGCTGCCGAACTTTGTGCTCCCCGCGCACGCAAACTACCGTGGCTCCTCGGCGGCGGTTGCACACACGCGCACCCTGACCTTCCTCCGGCCCCTGGTCGGGGGCCCCTTCTTCGATCTCGAGGCAATTTGGGACGAGCACTGCTACTTTGAGTTTGGAGATCGCGCCGTGGCCAAGACCATGGGTACCATGGTAGCTGAGCCATATGTCAACCAGTCGGTGACAGGGGCCTTTCCTATGCAAACCCGCGTGTTTCTTATCGAGGCCTACAATTGCTGAGAATTCGTGGGCTTAACAAAGCATCCCCACGATAACCGGAGGCATCGGCCGCGACCGCCTCACAACCTTCTACCGCCACCACTTCATCCACAGCAACCCAGACGACACCGCCTTGGAGCTTGTTAGCCGGACGGTGGGCGTGGATCGCGTCATCGACGAGTTTATTTTCAAGCTCACACACGACCGGGTCGTTGACTGGCTGTAAGGCGCTTTTTCTCCCTCAAAGGCGCTGTGCGAATCTGACAACCCGCGACGTTGGCGAACAGCTTGCCAGGCGTTCCACCCACGGGGAAGTCGCTCGAGATGCCCTTCACATCGGTCGTCAACATCAGGGGTGATCGCCTTTACCACGAGCACATTGCCTGGGACCAGGCCACTGTGCTCAGACAACTTGGGCTGCTTCCAGAGGTGTGTTTTGTGCTTTACATCCGGTCCTCAGGGGGCCTGGAGCCTGGGCTCCTCAAGCTCACGACCCTCTGTTTGCAGTACTTGCCATTCCCGTACCGGATTGATGGAAAGGACCCGGCGCCGGGCAAGAAATTCGAATATCGTGTGCCTGCCGCCGGAGTCGAGACTGCGAGGAAGCTTGCCGACGAGAACTCGGTCGAGTCGAACCAGATGTTCAACTACAGATTCCGCGAAGTCGACGCCTAAGGCAGTGCTCCATGTCAGGCAAGTCACCATGCTGTGTATGTAGTTGGGGTGAAGCTCATGGGCTCAAGCAGTGGAACCTGAGACCACGTCCGCTGGAACTGGTGGCCATCCCTGTGATGAAATTGGTGTAACTAGTCATCCCCCTGAACCTATGGAGACCTGAGCTGAGTCGGATTCCTCCACCATCCTTTTCTCCTTGTCAACGAGATTCTGAATATCCTTCCCTGTTATTGCCGTGCCTGGGTGTTCTTTGCGAACAAGCTCGGCGACGGCTCGGAAGGACAAATCTGGTTGGGATTTCAGGAGCGCGATGACAGTGTCGCGGGCAGCTTTGAGAGCCGCTCGCCGGTGCACCGGGATAGTGGCCGGGTTGACCATTTCATGCGTGTGAGAGCCGTGCTTCAGCGCGAAGAACCAGCCAACTAGCGGCTGTCCCCTCGGCTTGATCTGCCAAACGGACCCCCTCCACCTGCAGCCGCTCCGCATGGTGGCCCTCACGCCCTTATGCGCCTTTTTGTTGTGGGTGGCGGCCATGGTGCACTCGAGGTCGTAGCGGCAGATGTCGACGGGCGTGCTCTCGGCCTGCTCGGCCTTGTTGCGCTTGCGATAGCGCGACCTCATGACGATGACGCCGAACCCCGAGGCGTACGCCGTCCGCTGGACCGCCGACAGTGCCGCCTCCGAGGTCGCAAAGGGGACGCCCTCGAGCGACGCGAATGTCGGCGCGTTGGGCGAGGGTGTCCACTTGCCGCCCGGGGTGCAGGAACCGCCGCCGCCACAGTCGCCGCCATCAGGGGAGCGCGACGTGGGGCGCGGAGCCGAGGGCGGGAACGGGCTCGCCGATGAGAAGGGAGTGTCGGACTGGGGTTGCAGAAACACGGAGAAGTCGTAATAGTCGTCTGCCATGGTGATTATCTAGGCTCGCCGTGCTTTGCCGGTTGCCTGGCTGCACGTGCTTTTGAGGGCTGTCCAGATGTGGGGTGTCCGCGAAGTGAGGCTGTCCGTCTGTCGTCTGTCCGTCCAGCGAAGCACGGGGTTTGATGGACCAGGGTGGAGAACCCGAGGGAGTCACATGAGTCTGACGGGAACCAGTTCTTGCCGGCACTAGTTAGGCTAGGTGTGTCCGGCTGTCGAGCCACCAATCAAGGCCTGGGGATGTGCCTGAAGCGTCGTTGAACGGGCGCTGTTGGGGGGGTGTCCACTGGGCCCCGTGCAGTCCAGCGCAGTGGGTGCCGCTAAACAAGGGCCTGCAGGCCCCGGTTGCTGGGTGCTGAAATCAATCGAATGGATACCCAGCGCTGCGTCATGTGCGTCACTGTATGTAACAACAGCACGCCCAAGCCTGTCCCACTGCCACATATCGACATCCATGCTCCCCCGTCCCCCATACCTGGCGCCTTGGGCCCCTCGACAGCCTCCCACGAACACGAGCAAACCTCGCCGCCGCCCTCGCATGCCGCTGCCGTGCGAGACCGGCCACCAACGACGACGCTCAACCCGGCCCGATCCATGGCATTGCTGAGCAGGCCTCGAGATGGATGGCGTCTCTCCCATAGCGCCGCTTGAGCGCTCCGTCTCCGAGCTGTCGGCCGCCTCGTCCAGGAGCCACCGCTCCACCGTCCGCGGCACCCGCCGGAAGCTCCTGTCGACCCAGTCGTCCGGCTCCGCCTCTTCCATAAACGACAAGTCCCTGACATCATTCCCCTCTTTTTCGCCTGGACCGCCCAAGGAGGAGGGGGACGAGTCCCCGGTTATAGTCGACGGCATCGACGCCGTCGCCTCTATTCTGATCAAGCAGCCGTCCTCGGCCAAATCGCGGACCCCGATGTCAGCCGCCCAGACGCCCGCTTCAACCACCTCGGCCTCCACAGCCGCATCTATAGTCGAGAGCTTGACGGCCGCATCACCTGGCCTGCTAAAAACCCGACGGTCATCCTCCGGCCGCAACGGCGCCCGGAGCGCCCTCTTCGACGATACCGCCGGCACCCCGACCCGCAGGCTCCCGGGAGCCCTCCACCTGGCGGACAACGACCACATTAAGCGCCTCGTGGCCAAGCACGGGGCCGTGGGCCTGGTGCGCCAGGTCGCCGAGGACCTGGCGCAGCGCGATGCCCAGATCTCGGCCCTGCGGACCCGCGCCGGCGAGCGCGAGCGCGCCCTGCGCCGCATCATCCTCGAGTGCGGCCTCTCCAACCTTGACCTGGAGACGAGGCTACGCGCCGTCGAGGATGAGGCCAGGACCATGGGCGCCGCGCGCCGTGGCGGCCTGGAACGTGGCGTCTCGGACCTCGTCAGCGACGCCATGGCCGACAGCGTCTCCGGGGATGCACCGCCCTCCCCCTTTTACGGCCACGCAACACCATTCGACGGCCAGGCGACCATCCGCGCCGTCAGCGGCTCGACACAACCGCCCGCAACAGAATCAGACGGCAACAGCAACAATAGCAAAGGCACCATGAAGTTTATCAAGGACTACATATGGGGCGGGGGCGGAAGCGGGAGGAACAGCCGCGCCAGCAGCATAAACGGAGATACGGCCAAACAGGCACAAACAGTCATCCGCGCCCCCGTCTCGAGCGACCGGCGACCGATGCTCCAGGACGATCTCTTCACGCCGCCAGACACGCAATCGGTTAGGAGCTCGAGTAGAGCCTCCAGCATCAACAACGGCGTTACGGGTAGGAAGACGTCGACACCGTTTTCCACGCTGGTCAGAATGGTTGCCGGCGGAGGCTCTCTGGCTCCCAAGGATGGAGACTTGCGGGGTAGGGCCGGCAGCTCATCGGTGGCGGGCGGCTCGCTGAGGACGTCATCAGTCTCGAGCCAGAGGACTACGGGGTCGAACCGCGCCGTGTCCACGCAGGCGGGCGGGCCCAAAGCGCTGATGTCGATGCGTAGAGTGGTTACCGGCGTGCCGAACCTTCCCGCGTCGGGCGCCAGCCGCTCCAAACCCGAGGAGCGGTGGGACTCGATGGTGAGCAGTCCCATCACCGACTCCATGTCGCAGCAGGAGAGCTACGGGCCGGTTGAGATGGACAAGATTGTTCCTCTCGAGGCACAGCCGCCGACTCTGTCGCAGTTTTACAACAACAACTACGGCGGGTCCGGGCATCTCACAGATCGGTTCGGCTTCATATACGACCAGCGGAGGAAGAAGCGTCAGAGGGCGGCGCATCTGGCCAGCCAGGTGCTGGTCGCGGCTGCTGGTGGCAAGGCGGACAGTGCCGGCAGACCCATTCTGCCGCCCATCATCACGGATGACAGCACAAGCCATAAGTGGGATGTCGTTGACGATGGAAGACCGGGTTCGCCGTCGTCGGCCGAGGAGGTGCGGGAGGAGGGCAAGCCGAGCAGCAGGTGGTACGACTACCTCAAGGTTGTCACCTTCCAGGCCGGCACCGAGCGCACGACGGAGCTTCTGTCGGACACACCGGCCATGAGCGTACCCGGGATCGAGGTCACCGAAGGCCAAGAGCCGCCCAAGTCCCCCGCCATCGTCCAGTCTGAAGACGGGGGCTTTGTGCCGCATGCCAGCACGCCAATCTCGGCTGTCGACACGCTAGCCAGCGCCAGCGCCGGGCCAGAGGGCGAGCCTGCAGCGGCGACGTTCGTCAAGGACGATGTTGAGCCCGTCAAGCAGCTCCTCGACCAGCTAAACAGCCTGCACGACGTGCTGCAGCGGAAGCGCATGGACAGGTGGAACGAGTTCCAGCGCAAGGTGCGGGCAGAGCGCAGGAAGCACGGTGGCGAGTCGTCAGGCGCCGACAACAGGTTCCACAGCATGCCCGAGACCAGGCTGGCCGACGGCGAGCTGATCGGGATCGCGGACCTCGGAAACAAGGGCAAGGTGGGACGGGCCAAGTGGAGCGAGTTCCGGACGCTGGTCCTGGGTGGTATCCCCGTGTTGCTGCGGGCCAAGGTCTGGGCCGAGTGCTCGGGCGCCATAGATCTGCGGGTGCCGGGCTACTACGACGACCTGATCAAGCGGCCGGCGACCGAGGACAACGCGGAAGTGGTGACGCAGATCCGCGCCGACATCAACCGGACGCTCACCGACAACATCTTCTTCCGGAAGGGCGTGGGTGTCGAGCGGTTGCACGAGGTGCTGCTGGCGTACTCGCGGCGCAACGCCGACGTCGGGTACTGCCAGGGCATGAACCTCATCGCGGCCAATCTGCTGCTGGTGACGCCGTCGGCCGAGGATGCCTTTTGGCTGCTCGCGTCCGTGGTGGAGCGGATCCTGCCGGTGGGCTACTACGACCACTCGCTCCTGGCCAGCCGGGCGGACCAGCAGGTGCTGCGGCGGTACGTGTCGGAGCTGCTCCCGCGCCTGTCGGCACACTTTGAGGCGCTGGGCATCGACCTCGAGACTATGACGTTCCAGTGGTTCCTGTCCGTCTTTACCGACTGCCTCTCGGCCGAGGCGCTGTTCCGGGTCTGGGACGTGATGCTCTGCCTGGCGGACGGGTCGACGTTCCTGTTCCAGGTGGCGCTGGCGCTGCTCAAGCTCAACGAGCAGCAGCTACTGACGCAGTGCCCGACGCCGGCGGCCGTCTACACGTACATCAACCACCAGATGACGGACCACGCCATCAGCATCGACGGCCTCATCCAGGCCTCGGAGGGGCTCAAGCGCCTGGTCCGGCGCGAGGACGTCTCGGCCCGCCGTGAGGCCGCCATGGAGGCCGAGCGCGGGCTCGCCCGCCTGCGCGACGAGGAGCGCGCCGCTAGGGCCGCGGCCGCCCTGACGGTCCGGGGCTCGCGCAAGGCGGCCGCCGCGGCCGCACTCGTGGTCACGGACGAGGTGATCAGCGCCGCGTCCTCCAGGGCCCCCAGCGTCATCATCTCGCGGACCGCGTCCCCCGCCCCCTCAGCCCTGGCGTCGCCCGCGGTCGAGGTGGGTGGTGGTGGTGGCATCGCCGGTATCGCATGAGCTGGTTTCGGTTCCCGGGGCTCTGGAAATGCGTGGGGCTTGTGATGCCGATATTTGTCTCACGGAGCGAGCATAGCGTTACGGAACTGCCTGGTTTGGTTTGATTTCTTTTTTTTCTTTTTTTTTTCGTGCATGTCCTAGCCCCTCCCAGCATTTGGTTCGGTCTTTTCTGCTCCCTTGCTTGCCATTTCGAACACAAAGATCCCGGCTTTAGAAATACATTTTTTTCTTCTCGAGTTGGATGGTTTGCCTATTCTCCCTACGCATGTTGGAGTATATCCAGAGCGGCGGAGCGCAGTCGGAGAGACGTCTGCATCCTACCTTGGGCCAGTGGCCGCCCTGCGGCCCTCGTCGGCCGACTGAGCCAGCATGCCGTCACATGTTTTATCTCTTTTTCATTCTTCCTCTTTTTTTGTTTTTTGTTTATGGTGTTCGTTTTGCTGTAGTTTCTTTTTCTTTTTGCTCCGTTCCTCTTGTGCCATTTTGATAGATTGGGAAGCTCATGATACCCCCTCTCCCTTCTCGGATGCCCCCTCGCTTTTCCTCGGGCATCGAAAAACAATAAAATCGGAATATTCACCCTCAACGACAGGCGCCTAGGCATTGGTTCCGTGTTTATGGGGTGAGGTGGAGAGTTGGAGTAGGGTGTTGATATGTTCCAAGTGCTTGGGTATCTACGAATCTGATGGGCAGTGCTCGTGATGCTGACACGTGGGTGCCTTTCATACTGGGCGTGGTGCTTCTGCCAAACTGGCAATAGCAATCCCACCCACACACCCTCGGCCCCTCTCTGAATTCCTCTGGGGCTAGAATGCCATGCTTGGCCCCTAGATGTTTACATCAGATTATAGCACCATCCAGCCATCTCTCTCTCCCTCGCTCCGTAGGGAGACCGGTGCCGTTGTTGGTGGTCCTGTTTGTTCCTGTCCTCTACTGCCTCCGCGACCTGCGTCTCTCTATCCTTTCCGTCCTCTTTCCTTCATGTCCGGTAGGTGTCTAGGTACCTGGGTAGGTGGGTTATTTTTTCTATATGCCTCTGGCATGCTCAATCACTTGATCTTGCTCATAATGGTCTCGGGCCGCCTCTCGACAAAGATCTGGGCGGCGCGCCCCTTGACGGCGTTGAGGGTGGCGCGCTCAAAGTCGTCGCGAGACCGCAGCACGGCCTCGACCCAGGTGATCTGCAGGTCCCAGTAGGCCGTCTTGAACTGCTCAAAGACGTCGGGGATCTGCTCCTTGGGGCTGGTGAGCAGGCTGTCGAACAGCTGCATCACCTTCCAGCGCTCCTTGAGCTGCATGCCCAGGTCCGAGTCGAGCGAGTCGAAAAAGGCAAAGACGGTGCCGACGTCGTCGAATATCTTTTCCTGGTACTGGTCGGTGCGGCGGAATTTGACGCCCTTGTTGCGCACGCTGCCCAGGTAGCGGGCCAGCAGCTCGTCGGCGAAGAGCTCGATGAAGATGTCGACGAGCGAGTGGTGCAGCACCTGGCGGTAGTCGCCCACGTACTCCTCGAAAGTCACCACCATCTGGCGCATCGACGTCGACGTGTACCACTTTGGCGTGAAGATGTCGGGCAGCACGGGGGTAAAGTCGACGGCGAAGACGAGGTGGACGAACTTTGTGATGCACCATGTGCTGAAGTCGACATAGCCGTCGCGCAGCGCCTCCATCTCGGCGTCGGCGCGCTCCATGTAGGGCTGCGACACCATGGGCCCGAACTTTTGCCGGAAGCTGCTGAGGTAGCCGAACCGGCCCTCGTCCTCGTTGTCGTCGATGCAGGCGATCTGGTCGTTGGCCGTGGCCACGAGCCAGTCCTGCAGGGCCTGGAAGCCCTCGAGCTCGGGTACCTTGCCCGTCTCGTACAGCTGCGCCTCTTCGTCCAGCAGCTTCTGCCACGACTGCTGGCGCGCGCGCAGGCGCAGGAACATGGCGTCCACGACGCCCTCGGCCACGTCGGCGCGCTTCGAGTTGGCGGCCGCGTCCATCTGCTCGCGCAGCATGCGCCAGAGGTCCACCAGGTTGCGCGTGCGGAAGTAGCCAAATTCGTCCGCGTCCAGGTTGGAGGCCTCGGCGCCTGCGCGCTCGGCGAAATCGCGCTTCTCCTGGGCATGGATGCGGTCGATCCACTCGTCGAGAAACTTGATGATGAGGTTGCGGAAGTCGCGCACCAGCTCGGCCTCGCGGTTGTCCACCACGTGCGGCGTCAGCTCTTCCTGGCGGAACCCTAGCTTGTTCATCTTCTTGTAGTACTTGTCGGGCCAGCCGACGATCTCGAGCGCGTGCGACGAGCTGCTCTCCGGGTCGTCCACCATGCCGACGAGGAAGTCGTGCATCAGCTCGTGGTAGATGTTGCCGTACTTCTTGAATATCTTCCATTTCTTGGGCATCAGCGGCACCATGCCCAGCCGCACGGCGTTGAGGTCGTTGAAGAACCAGCGCAGGATCTTGTCGAGCTTGGACGGGTCGTCGAGGAAGTCCTCGCGGCTGGCCTTGAACTGGGCCTCGCAGTAGCCGCGGATGGCCAGCAGGAACTTGTCCTTGTAGCCGCGCACCGTCTTGGCACCGTCGGTGATGCTCTGGAAGCGGGCGGCCATCTCCTTGTGATCCTTAAGGGCGTCCTGCAGCGCCAGCACGCGCTGGTCGCTCTTCTCCTCGGCCTCGATGATGAGGGCGAAGCGCACGACGAGCCCGTTGTTCTCCGACGTGACCAGGTTGATGAGGTTCATGGACACCATGCCGACGTGCTCGTCGAACCAGTCGATGATGCCCTCGAGACGCTCAAAGTAGTCCTCGAGTGTCGACTGCAGGCTGGTGTCCTCGGCACGCTGGATCTGCTCGATGGCGTCATCGCGGATGTTGCGCAGCTGCGTGAGCTCGTAGTGGATCGACAGCAGGTTGGGCATCTGGTCCTGCTCGGCCTCGTCCTGGCGCAGCATCTTCTCAACGGCGCTCAGGCGGTCGTTGAATGTCTCGAGGTTGCGCCGCATGGCCTCGACGGCGCCGAAGTTGCGGTGCGCCTGCGAGACCAGGTTGATGGTGGCAAAGTCCTTGATCATGTTCTGGCTCTCGGAGCACAGCTTGTCGATCTTGATCATCTCGTCCTTGATCTGCTGCACCGCCTTCTGGCCCTCCGACAGACCCGTCATGCCGCCCTGTGTCGTCTCGAGCTGCTCACGCAGGCCGGCCCGCAGCTGCGAGTCGACGGCCTCCTTCTTGCGCGCGAACTCTTGCCTCAACACCACGATCTTATCTAGATCGTCGGGGTGCCGGAGCAGCTCCGAGAGCTTGACCTGCGGGGCATCCATTGCGCCGTGGGGTACCGTCCCGGTCCGCCGTCTCGTCGTTTCCGCTTGGACGGGTGCACAGCGGAGGGGAGGGGACACGAGGCACGCGTCGGTCAGGGGTCGTCTATGGTCGGGGCGGCGGCGCCAATCGGGGGGGTCTGTCTGGTCTGCTCCTGCCGGCTACTCCAGGGGCACGGCGAGCCCGAGCTTCATGACTTGGAGGAGACGTCTATTCTCGGCGTTGGGGGTTGCTGAGTGCGAGGCTGAGCATCATGGCCAGACATCGAGGTGGCGCTGTAGCTCACATTCCGTGCCTGTAGCAGGCAGTTGAGCCTGGGCGGCCGACGTAACAGCGACATTGGGCGGCGGGTGTGGGCCCGTGCGCGTACTTAACTCCACCCCAGCCGTCCTTCACATCCTGGCTTGAGCTTAACCCGGGGTTGCGCTTTGCGGACCCCTCCTGAGATACTGCATCCCAATCTCAAGTCTCAACCCTTGACCTGCACCGAGGCTGATGAGCGCGCAGGTCAGACATCGCTGGTTTGAACCCGCGCCGTCCGGAAACACCATAATTATAGTCTGGGGGCTTTTCGATGTATATATCCTCCCTGCTTTCTCTGGTTCCTTTCCCAGTACGAGAGAGAGTGCTGAATGTGATTTGTCAAGCAGCGGGTCGGCAAGATGGACTCCAAATACCCAAAGGCCATGAACTGTGAACAAAAAAAAAAAAGAAA